ATACGGTAACAAATACTGTTGCACAATGAAATATCATGTAGGATTTGTGTTGTTTTCTTACCTCATTTCTGATGAAAATATAATCTGTTGAACATTTCCCAGTAGGAGTCTTAAAGTTAAACAAAGCCTTCAAAACAAACTTAGTGGCAGGTAAAGCTACTAGGTAAATATATGCTACCTGTCTGGGTGGCCTTTGAGATGTGTGATCTTTTAACCATGCTTCAACTTCTTCAATTTTCTTCTTGTGTATGGCAAGCTCATTCTAATGAGAAAAATAATAATATATAGTTGAGGCAAATAATTTTACAGTAGAATTAAATACTGCGAAAGAACACTGATGTAGCATATCCTCTTGGTAGCTATAACAAGTTAATTATTAGTGTAAGCAGAATAAAAATGGTTCTATTTTCACTCTGTTTCCATAACTGGCCTGGCTCAGTTTGTCTTCCAAACTGGGATCCATTTTGGCCAGAATTCAGGCCATTAGGGTTCCAGCTATCTGGTGTCCATCTCCAAGCCCCGAAGTGTGGAGATTACATCACACACAGCAGAGTTCAGGGCCTGAGATTCAGCAGCAGCCTTCAGACTGCAAATAGTTCCACAGCCTACTAAACTAGCTAAAACAGGCTTCCTCAACCTCAGCCCTCCAGATGTTTTGAGACTACAATTCCCATCATCCGTAACCACTGGTTCTGCTCGATAGGGATCATGGGAGTTGTAGGCCAAAAACATCTGGAGGGCCATGGTTGAGGAAGCCTGAGCTAAGATAAGGGGCATCTGCAGGAAGGGTCCATTTACAGTCTGAAAGCTACCACAAGACCTCTGTCCTAATGAACTGGAATGTGCTTACATAATTGCCATGTATCGGAGCCAAGGGACTAGATCTGCATTAATTTTCAAGGCATTCAAAGGACATCCAACATATTTCTAGAAACGATCATAAGTGGACAAAAGTCTTGCTCACATCTAGGTTTATTAAGCTGAAAGATGATCATCTAGACCAGTGTTTCCCAACCTTGTGCCTCCAGATGTTTTTGGTCTACAACTCCCATCATCCCTGACTAGCAAGACCAGTGGCAAGGGATGATGGGAATTGTAGGCCAAAAACAGCTGGAGGCACAAGGTTGGGAAACACTGATCTAGACATAGTCAATATCATTACTCAATATCAAGTGCAAAAAATATTCCATTGCTATTGCATAATATTCCAAACACTTGCTGACAATTTAAATATATATATCTTACACTTTTCTATTAACCAAGTATACCTATGTTCTATCAACTTAATAAAACAATGAAACACTATCTATTTTTCCTTTTGGACACACCACTTCAGCAACACACATAGCTATTTGTTGTTTTAAAGGAATTTTAAACTTTACCTGAGTTTTTGGTTTGTATTTATCCACCCAAGATTCATTTTGGCTATGGTTTTGTTTTGAGAGTTTATATTTATATTGCTCATCTATAGAAAGTGGCTTTCTTTTTTTTCTTTCAGTCTTACAACTTTCTATCGGAGAGCAACACTCTTTTTTCTTCCGACTGTGTTTGGTATCTGTTGATGGCTTCTTATGAAGAATGTCAGATGACAGAATTGTATCCTTACAGAAATCACTAAAAGATGGCTCCACCCAGTCAGTCACCTGACAAAATATAAGTAAACAAAAGTTATTGCATGGTAGAAATGATTAATTCTTAAACCAACTAGTGTTTTACAGTAGAGTAGTCCAAGGTCTTAATAACAACAACTGTGTCATACTATTGGAAAGCCCCCTTTCAACTTTTAAGCCCTATCTAATTGAACATTCAGTAACTTTGTTTTAATACAGTGGTACCTCGGGTAAAGAACTTAATTCGTTCCGGAGGTCTGTTCTTAACCTGAAACTGTTCTTAAGCTGAAGCACCACTTTAGCTAATGGGGCCTCCCGCTGCCGCCGCGCCGCCGGAGCCCAATTTCTGTTCTCATCCTGAAGCAAAGTTCTTAGTACCACTGTACAAGAAAGGGAGTCTGGAATCAGCATGAAATTATGAAAATAGTATGTCTTAAGTTAATAGCCATGGTGTGTTCAACAGTTCTTATTTCCAGTAATTACACTTGGTCTGGAACATTTAACCGTGATTTCCAAACTACCATTGGCTGATGTTATGAAAAGTGATAATAAAGTAAGTACCGTATTTTTCACTCTATAACACGCACCTGACCATAACACGCACATCGTTTTTAGAGGAGGAAAACAAGGGAAAAAATATTCTGAATGAAACAGTGGACGTATCATTTTTGTGCTTCATGCTGTGGCCACAGACATGTGATCTGATGGTGAATTTGGGGTGACCCAATGCAAAGATCCTGAGGATCCATGTGGACCCATACTTTGTAACCACGTTTTTGCACCATTGCAGCCCCAGGCAACAATGGGTGTGTGATTTTGGGGGGGCAGGCTGTAGCCATGGACATGCTGTGTGCTCTGATGGTGAATTTGGGGTGACCCAATGCAAAGATCCTGAGGATCCATGTGGATCCATGCTTTGTAACCACATTTTAAGTGGGGAGGGAAGGAAAAACACAGAAGGCTAAGAATGCAGGAGAGGGCTATAACGTGAGGAAAGGAAGGCAAAAGTTTCCCCCCACCCACCCACACAAGCCAGCCAGCGTGCTCTCTCTCTCTCTTTCTCCCTCTCCCTCTCCCTCCCACCAGCATGACAGAAGAAAGCATTTTATCTGCATTAAGAACTATTTAGCAGCGAAACCTAAGCTTTGCCATCCCTTAAGAGGTACAGACACTGTAATCTTCCAGATCGCATGAATTTACAGGCAAAACACTGTTTAAGGATTTCATCCTTTTAAATGGAAGAAAGCATATTTGAATGCTGTGTGTCTCCAAAAACAAAAAGCAGGAAGTCAAATCAGAATTTTAAGCCGAACCTGTAATCTCTCTCCCTTCACAAACATTGTTCCCTCCGGAGCAGGGAGAGGATAGAACGAAGGACGCTCTGCTTTCCTCTCTTCTTGCCTGGAGGGGAGGGGCTTTCCCTGCTCTTTGTTCCGTTTGAGCAAACACAGTAACGAAACAGAGCAGGGTGGGCAGTAAGACCCTGAGGCAGAATGCAGGAAAGCAACAGCTTCCTCTCTCACGGAGCTCCCTTCTCCCTGAAGCGCGGTTTGATTTTTGCCTCATTTTTCGGCTCCAGGGACCACACATTCGCTGCATAACACGCACAGACATTTCCCCTTCCTTTTTAGGAGAAAAAATCTGCGTGTTATAGAGCGAAAAATACGGTAATTCTTCTCTACATGAGTATAACAACTGTGCATTAAAGAATAATACAATCCAAAATCTTTAATACTGTGTTTTAAAGTAATCACTCACATTGACTGCAGCAATCTTTCTTTTTGAATATTTTTTTGACATCATCAACCTTTGTAGTTTCCATCCAAAGCATATGACTGACAGCCCTTTAAATTAAATGACCTAAAAAAGTGTAAAATATTTATGTAAAGAAACTTTGCACAAATAGAATTTTAAAATGTCCAACTAGGCAAAACATCCAACTATGGCTGCCTTGCAAATGAGGGGATAGCCCCAGGGAAGGGAGAAATCACACTCCAGCTGCTATTTTCCTCCAAATGTGCTGTTTTTCCAAGAAAAGGTTCATTCCTAACCCTGGCCACTGCTCAACCAGTCTGTATGGAATGCCAGGCCACTTCTTCACACAGGGCCTTTTGGGTCTTTCCGCTGGATTTCACTGGCAGAGATCCTACAGGCTTCCACTTTATCCACCCCCTTCCCAGACTGGTGCAAAAGGGGTTGGGATTGTTTCTACCAACTCATGGTTGTGGAGAAAAACCTCAGAAACTAATTAGCAGCATGACTGTGAAACATATTCCTGCAATGATTTTTAAATATAGTGGTACTAGTACATCAGGCAGTAGTAGGCAGATTTCAGTAATCTGTCACAGACAACTATAGGTTTCATCTATACAGCAGGCGAAAACTTCAGAACTGGCTATTCAGCCACAAATTTGTTGTCATACCATCCCCAGTCACAAATGTCAGTAGTTGTCATACCATCCCCAAAGGCTATGCAATATAAAGAGTACACTCTCTCTCTCTCACACACACACACACAGACACGGTGGTGTTTGAGTTAAAACCATACTCAAGGCGGCTTATGACATGACAAGATTTGCATAATTACAAACATAACAGAAGTCATAAATAAAACACATCAAAAAGTACACAACCAAATTAAAACAATTTCCACACGAATCATAACATGATCTAGAAATAAAGATACAAAAATCAGCATCAGTATTGTTCTTATTTATTCAACTTATACAGCGCGAGCAACCAAAGAAACCTCCAAACTCTACCTCAGCCGAAGAGTCTGTTCAGCAGCTTTTGTAGCTGGGGTCAGTCAGGGACCCGCCCACCCAGGCCAGGTGGGAAAATAAGGGCCAACAAGGCAGGGAGGCAGATCTTCCAGGGCGAAAGGAAGGCAGCCCAGCCGAACTCAGCGGGACTTACTTCTGACCGGACATGCTTCGGACTGCGCCGCTCCTTCAGGGATGTCCAGCCGAGTGACTTGCGGAGCGGCTCTGCCCGACTGCGTTGCGCTGACCCTTCTCCGCCGCTTCTGTAGCCCAGGCAGCGCCTTACTCGCCCTTCTCCATCACCAGGGAGACCTGCCGCGGTCCCGTAATACCCGCCGGAGGTGCCTTTCTCCTCCTGGGACTCAGGCTGCCTCCATTCAGGCTGGGGGCTTCCCACGCATGTGGGCGCCCAGCTGATGGCGAAACGCTAAGGCGTCACCCTCAGGCCCCAGAGAAAAGGCAAAAGCTCGCCGAAACTGATGTATGTATGCGTGTATGTATGTATGTATGTATGCATGCATGCATGTCATACGTGATTCTTACCTCACAGAGTCGCCTTCCTATTTACCAGGAGACGGGCGGAAGAAAGGGGGCCCCTGTGACGTTGTTATTATGCGCTGACTCGGGCAGAGTTGGGAAAGGTCCCCGCGAAGGATGAACACGTGTCTTCGTGACGCCTTTCCAGGCACTTGGATCGTCCCCCAAGCGAACATGAGGAGACCAAATATTCTTCTCACGGGTAAGAGCAAAACGGGTTGTGTTTGTATCTCATGCAAGTGCTTTAGAAACATAACGTCCCGGGTCCAGTTTCTAGTGTCCTCGGGTGAAGGCAACCAGTAACAACAAGGCTGGGAGAGATTCCCGTCTGAAATCCTATCCTGGAAAGCTGTGTGTTTGGGTCGACTCGGTGCGAGGCAGCTTCATGGGTTTTACCTGATTGTGTGCCTCGGTAAATGTCACTTCCACCCTCCTATTTGTACTTCAAAAATGAGGCCTGGGCTAACATGCAAGCAAACTATGTGATCGAATGGGCTATAACATTGTTTTGAATGCTGCTCCCTGTTTGTTTGTTTTATATAACATGTAAATACAAAACTTGCTCTTTGCCATATGCCATACAAGCTGATTGTAGACAATTTTTAATATAGAGAAGCGTTCAAAGTGTGATGCACATGCCTGCAGGATATTTTTTTAAATGGAAAGTCTTTGGCTATCTTGCTTGAACTAGGCCTGTCTGGGCCTTTAGTAGCAGTTTTCATGTGGAGTTGATTACAGTACAGTGGTACCTCGGGTTACATATGCTTCAGGTTACAGACTCTGCTAACTCAGAAATAGTGCTTCAGGTTAAGAACAGAAATTGTGCTCTGGCGGCGCGGCAGCAGCAGGAGGCCCCATTAGCTAAAGTGGTGCTTCAGGTTAAGAACAGTTTCAGGTTAAGAACGAACCTCTGGAACAAATTAAGTACTTAACGAATTAAGTACAGGTACCACTGTATATGTTTTTAGTTGCTACTATTGATTACTGTTTTGTTATGACATACTGTATGCTGCTTTGTAGGTACGCCTGGTGTTGGGAAAACTACCCTAGGCAAAGAGATCGCTGCAAGAACAGATTTTACTTACATTAATGTGGGTGATTTGGCCAAAGAAGGTGAGTTTTTATTTTACAGAACTTAACACTTGAAAGTTGATGTAGAATTCGTATTTAAGTTATATACAGGTAAGTAGGTATAGTTTAGATATATGTGGTAGAGTTCAATGTTGTGCTATTATGAACATTCTGTCTATGCAAGCATTTCAGCTCATCATATGGAACAACCCCACCCCTCTCTCCTGACTCTCCCCGCCCCTTCCTGCCCAAACCAATTCTGGGAGGCATTCAGGGGGAGGAGAGGGAGAAAGCTCCATTGCATAAGCAGTAGTCCTTGCACAGAGTTTCTGCTGACAGGATGCCTAGATGAATCCTATCCATAGCTATAATGCTAAAGGGAATAAATTCTGTTTATAGACATGTTTGTTAAAAAAAAACTTTTAAACATACGTCTAAAATGCATACAGTAAGCCTCATTGGACTTATGGAACTTATTTCTGAATAAAAACCCATAATATTGGGCTGCGCACAGGTTTTTGAGAGACATATCTTAAAAAAGCAATTGACAGCAAACCATTGGAAACATTTTTTGTATTCTTACCATTGCTTCCTCATTATACAGGGGAGCTATACGAAGGATTTGATGAGGAATATGGATGTCCAATTTTAGATGAAGACAGGGTACGTTTACATTTAAAAACTAGCAGAGTTGTGGGTTTTATTTTGTTACTAAGAATACATTTATAAGTTTATTTTGTATGAATTCTCTTTTAGGTAGTTGATGAACTAGAAGAGAAGATGAGTGATGGCGGTGTAATAGTTGATTATCACAGCTGTGACTTCTTTCCTGAACGTTGGTTTAATATAGTATTTGTGCTTCGAACTGAAAACTCAGTCTTGTATAACAGATTGGAAAGCAGGTAAAATCAGTGCTACAAAATAGATGCAGTACCAGATTTGGTTTAGATTGAAGCCTCTTGTTAGTACATAGTCTTGTCTCTGTTTTTTAACCTAAAATGTGCTCCTAAATTATCTCAAGTGTTTTTGTCTTATCTTATTTTATTTTTTTAGAGGATACAAAGGAAAAAAGCTTCAAGACAACCTTCAATGTGAAATTTTTCAGATCATTTATGAAGAAGCCATGTCATCGTATAAGGAAGACATTGTTCATCAGTTGCCCAGCAACATTCCAGAAGACATGGAGAACAACTTAGATCAGATTATACAGTGGATCGAACAGTGGATGAAAGACAACAACTAGCATTTTAATATATAATATTAATAGACCAAACAGTCTTAGAAATAACTTAATTCAATAGCACTGGCTGACTGGTTCTTGTCAGTTATACTTGCTGTTTCAGTCATTGAGGAAACAGTAACAGTTACTTTTCTGTGAAAATAAAATTGGAGATAAATGAAATTCAGCAGATTTATGCTGCACTAATTATAGCTGGATTCATATGACTGCAGAAACTGGACATAAGTTACAGACTTGGAAACTTTAAAAAACATTACATTCTGTGTAATTGGGCATCTTAAGATTCTTTTTGACGATTTGGTTGACTGCACTGGCTTGTTTAGGTGTTAGCATCTCAATTGCTTTGCAACTTCCTTTTTTTGGTAATACGTTGAATTGTTCTGTGGAAGTTTTTATTTTTTAATGGTGGGACTTGGTTTGTGACAATGTTCCAGGTTATTAAGTTATCGACATGCAATGTCATTTAATATATTTGTGTGTGTATGTATATTTCATTTACTAGCTCATAGTAAATGTTATCAGTCTTTCAAGTCTAAAAGCTTTCCCAGTGAAGTTACTTCTAATGCTATGGGAATATTGACCTGTCTTTGCAAGTGTAATACATTGACTATACACAGTGCAACCTGAAGTGCAACCACAGGTCATGTTACTGATGTGAACACACATGCCAGTTCCACATAATAGGAAACCCAATTTGATAGCAGCTTCCCATAGCATGTATGTGTGTCAAATACAGATCTATGTTTTGTCTGTTGACTACCACAACGCATGTGCAAAATACACAGTACCAAGTGAAAGGTAGGTAGAAAATTGGTTATGCATGAATAAAGTATTAAGTCTCTTTGTAAGTATGTTTATTAGTGTATCTTCTTTGTGTTAAAATATTTAGCTCCAGAGGTCTGATCTTTGAATATACAGTAAAGAAATTATAAAAATTGCAAAGGACAGATCTTAATAGGAAGCACATCTTCCTGTTGTCAGTTGGGAAAGGCCCACTTTGATTGCCCTGGTAGTTTTGTGGTAATTCATCATATATATGAAGCACTGATGTTTTCTTTTCTGGAACTAAAAAGGTTTAAAGATATTGTTGAAAAGGAGCCTCCTTCTTTAGGAATAGGAGACTCCTACTGAATTTAAACATATACTAACTTAAATGCAGCATCAGTACTTAAGATATTCCTAGCTGCACATTCTATGGTATAATGTAAATTACACAGTCATTCAGTGTGTATAGTACGACTGACACTTATGGGGGATACACATTGTCATGGCAGTGAACATGATAGGACTTTCTCCTCTTCCTCTTCACACTTGCACAATCTATTCCAGGAGGTTCTCCAATTGTCCAGAGTAGATTTTGAGGGGCATCAGTGTACAGGTCAGGGGGAAAGTCCCATTGCACAAGTGGCTGTCACTGTTGGATATTGCCCTATCTATCCATGGAGCATTTGATTTGTGCCTCTAATAACGTCATTGCATGTTTGTGTTTTGTATATATGAAAATGAAAATCCTCCAGTTTGCCATTTTCCTAACTAAGCTACTTTGACTTGAAACTTTTATTATTTACTAAATAACTATTGGAAATGACTTTGTACTTAATATAATTTTGATTTATGGGGAAATGGGTCTATAGTTTTGTAAGTTTCTTAATAAAAAGGAGTGCCTTTAATGGTAAACATTTAGCTTTGCATTTATATACAGGTATGTCTATTAAAGTGCCTTCTATGATATGCTGTAAGCAATTTATTTTAATGAATGTTTAAATACGATGTTTCTATTCAACTTTTGTAGTAGCTCTTGCTGTGTTCAATAAATTTGCTTGTATTGATGACCAGTTAAGAAAACCATTTAACTTCAGACATGTATTGCAGCTAAATCTTTATCTCACTCCTCCTTTCCTGTTTGTCAAAGCTTAATAATCCTATAGTGCAATAGAGGATTTTGACATGTAGTAGCTACCTATGTATGTGGGAAGACCCTTCATGAAGTGGTAGAGCTCATACTTCGTTTAAGGCCAGAGGTTTAATAAAAAGGTTCCACGGTGGCAGGTCATCTATCTATCTATCTATCTATCTATCTATCTATCTATCTATCTAAATTTATCCTTTTTTCAAATAAAATAAAAATAATTGTACATTTTCCAATTAATATTCAATTGGTATTAGACTTCCCCTCCACCACTCCATGGTTTCCCCAAGTATTGTAATATTGATGCATATTCTAATTATTCTATAACTTATCTCCTCCATAATATTCTCCTATATGTATTTTACTGCTGTTATTACTCCAAACCTACTTAAGTTTTAACATGTTTACAATAATTTTTTTAATAAGCTGCAAACATGTTCCAGTCCTCCTTTAAAAACTCATCTTGATCTCTAATTTTACAAGTTAAGCTTGCTAGTTGGCAGTTGAAACTGAAGGAATATGCTCAATCTTCTAGGTCATTTATAAAATCTTGAGCTGTTGTCACTACATACTGATCTAGATGGACTAATGATCCAATGGTGTAAGGCAGCTTCATACGATTAATTGCCTGAATTTAGATAATCTCCCTTAAATGTTTTTGCATGAGATTGCATTGTATGCACCTTTCAAATGCTTATTCAGAACCACCGTTCAACACACCCAACGTGCAGATGAAAATGCCTGATAAAAAGCTCTTGAGGTGCCCTCTATATATTGAAGCCTCTGACTCCCATCAGTCCCAGCTAGCATTTCCTATAAGGGAAGATGAGAATTTCAGGATTGCACAGTACAGTGGTACCTCTGGTTACAAACTTAATTTGTTCCGGAGGTCTGTTCTTAACCTGAGGCGCGCTTTTGCTAATGGGGCCTCCCGCTGCCCATGTGCCTCTGGCACACAATTTCTGTTTGCATCCTGGGGCAAAGTTCGCAACCAGGAGCAGCTACTTCCGGGTTAGCAGAGCTCGTAACCTGAAGCGTTCGTAACCAGAGGTACCACTGTATTGGCACCAGTGCTGGATTTATGTATAAGCAAAACAAGCTATAGCTTAGGACCCGACTCTCTTGGGGGCCCCCCAAAAAATAAAGGAAAAAAACCTGGATGTACTGGTACATTTCCAAAATATAAGATAAAATACTAAAACAAAACCTACATACAGCAACAGTGTTTTGTGTTGTGTAGGTCCATAAATTATCATATAGCATATATTCAACACAAAAAACAGGGACAATTTGTTGTTGACAAGGGACAGCTGGACATACAAAGGGCCCCATCAAACCTAAATGTGACCCTGATTGGCACTGTATTTGGACAGGAACATAGACACCAAATATGCCTCTCTGGGGAGGTTATTCCATGAGGACCTCCCAGGTAAACCACTTGCTGTTGGACTATGACCTGGGAGGCTGGGGTTCAAATCCCCACTCAGCCATGAAGCCCACTAGGGCTGACCTTGGGCCAGTCGCTGCCTTCACAGGGTGTTTGTTGTGAGGATAAAATGGGGAGAACCTCGTACGCCCCTTTGAGCTCCTTGGAGGAAAAAAGTATATAAAGGCTATGAAATAAATACACCCCCCCCCAAAAAAAAACAACAACTGCCTTGCAGCAGACCGGTATAACTTAGTTCGGCACAGAGGCTTGTAGGGAGCGCCTTAAAAACTAATGGGCCAGTTAGATTGATATTTGCAACAAGCTTTTTTCTATTACCGTGCCCACTCTGCAGGTTCCTCCTCTAGCTGCGGGGAAGGGAGGGCTAGTTGGGGTAGGCGGGCAGGTGAAGCCCTGCCCCGGAGGGAGGCCGGGAGGAACAGAGGGACGGACCGGGAAGGGCGACGGCTGGACTGGAGGGAAGGAGGAAGCCCTGCTCGCCTCGCCGGCCAGGTGGGTCTGCGGCGGGCTTGGCTTGCGCGCGGAGGCCCGCAGCTCTGGAAAGCTCGGCCCCTTGGGAGAGGGAAAGGGGGGCCGAGGAGGGGCCGAGCCGTGGGGCGTCGGGGTTCTGTGCATGTGGCGCGGAGGGAAGCCCGGGAGGCTCGTACTACGCGCTCTTTCGTGAAAGGAAATAAATAAAAAAACTAAAAAATTGTCCAGTAGCACCTTAGAGACCAACTAAGTTTGTTCTGGGTGTAAGCTTTCGTGTGCATGAACACTTCTTCGTAAAGCTTCGCGGTCTCTTTTTAGTCAGAATTCGCGTTGGCGGGAGCTGCGTGCGCTCAGCTCAGGCGCCCTCTGAGATTTTGCGTTGCCTGTGCAACTCGGACGGGGAGCTTTCCTTGCCGTTCTTTCCTGTGCCTTTTAATATTGGTGGCAAAGGGAGACGTTCAGCAGACCACAGTTTTGCCCTGTATGGAGACGCCAGTGATGCTCAAAGCTGCACCTGTTGAATGTTGGTTGGGCATGCAGCTTTTTAAAGAAGGGGGGGGGCAGAAGAGAAAGCCCTGCTTAAGGTGTTGTCATAATTGATAGATGGAATCACAGAGTTGGAAGGGACCCTGAGAATCATCTAGTCTATCCCCCTGCAACGCAGGAATATGCAGCTGGCCCTTAGGCAAGATCGCACACTCAACCTTGACATAGTCAACAGAGCTACCCATGAAAGAGATAATTAGAGGATAAGTTCTTTATTCTGGGAAGCCCCTAAAATAAGTAAAGGGGACCCATTGTATGATAAGGTATGTTCTGTAATCTTGGGTCCATGCATTTTTGGCTTTTCTGCCAGCTACAACTGAACAGTACTACCTCAGGTTAAGTACTTAATTCGTTCCGGAGGTCCATACTTAACCTGAAACTGTTCTTAACCTGAAGCACCACTTTAACTAATGGGGCCTCCTGCTGCTGCCGCGCCGCCGGAGTGCAATTTCTGTTCCCATCCTGAAGCAAAGTTCTTAACCTGAGGTAATATTTCTGGGATAGCAGAGTCTGTAACCTGAAGCGTATGTAACCCGAGGTACCACTGTACATAAATATGAAGAATCTTATAACTGTGTACATTATAAATATAAAATGCCTGTTGCTGTGTAGTTATGCAGCAACAAGGGGTGTTTTGCAATCCAGTGGTACCTCGGATTACATACGCTTCAGGTTACAGACTCCGCTAACCCAGAAATATTACCTCAGGTTAAGAACTTTGCTTCAGGATAAGAACAGAAATTGTGCTCCGGCGGCGTGGCAGCAGCGGGAGGCCCCATTAGCTAAAGTGGTGCTTCAGGTTAAGAACAGTTTCAGGTTAAGTACGAACCTCCGGAACGAATTAACTATTTAACCCGAGGTACCACTGTATTGGATCCACCATGGAATGTTAAGACATCAGGAAACTGCCTTATAGTGAGTCAGACAATGGGTCCATCTAGCTCAACATTGTATGCACTGATTGGGAGCAATTCAGGATTTTAAACAAGCCTCTCTCCCAGCCCTGCCTAGAGGTGCTGGGGATGAAGCCTGGGATCTTTTGCATGGAAAGCAGATGCTCTATCACTGAGCCACAGCCACTTAAAGGTAAAGGTAAAGGTACCCCTGCCCATACGGGCCAGTCTTGCCAGACTCTAGGGTTGTGCGCTCATCTCACTCAAGAGGCCGGGAGCCAGCGCTGTCCGCAGACACTTCCGGGTCACGTGGCCAGCGTGACAAGCTGCATCTGGTGAGCCAGCGCAGCACACGGAACGCCGTTTACCTTCCCGCTGGTAAGCGGTCCCTATTTATCTACTTGCACCCGGGGGTGCTTTCGAACTGCTAGGTTGGCAGGCGCTGGGACCGAAAGATGGGAGCGCACCCCGCCGCGGGGATTCGAACCGCCGACCATGCGATCAGCAATTCCTAGACGCTGAGGTTTTACCCACAGCGCCACCCGCGTCCCCCACAGCCACTTACCTGCTAGCTATATAAGTAAAGTTAAAGGGACCCCTGACCATTAGGTCCAGTCGCAGACAACTCTGGGGTTGCGGCGCTCATCTTACTCTATAGGCCGAGGGAATCGGCGTTTGTCCATAGACAGCTTCCGGGTCATGTGGCTAGCATGACTAAGCCGCTTCTGGTGAACCAGAGCAGCGCACAGAAACGCCGTTTACCTTCCCACCAGAGTGGTACCTATTTATCTACGGTACTTGCACTTTTGGGCATGATTTTGAACTGCTAGGTTGGTAGGAGCAGGGATCAAGCAACGGGAGCTCACCCTGACACCCCAAATTAAGTGTGCCTAAATTGTAAGCGTTATGGGACAATGTATACACAATGTTACTCATCACCTTGGTTCATACTGTGAGATTTACAATGGATGTGCAGAAAACAAGCTCTTCCTATCACTATATTTTTGTCTAAATCAATCTCTAAAGGGTAGGTGAACAGAAGTTCCATTTTATTTTCTTAAAACAAGCAGCACACATTCAAAATGGTTTACTAAAGTTAAATGTCCATGTGCAAAAACAGCATAAGAAGACATTTTTAATGAAGAGAAGGTTTTCTATAAATGCTTCCTCTTAACATTATTTGCTAAAAAAAAAAAGCAGCCAAGTATTCAGAGTTCCTTTGTGAGGATGTTATAAATGTCTGGATTCTATTAAAGAGAATTAGGAAAGCAATAACATAGTGTAATATGCATGTTTCATACAAGAACTCAATTCCACATAGGTCTTGATGTGACTTTTGCAGTTGTTGGATTGTAAGTTAAACAATGCTTTCTTTTTTATTACATTTTAAAGTAAACAAAGTGGCTGGGTGTGTTTATGGTCCTGCCAGCAAGGCATAAGATTACACTGATATGCTTTTAAGTTCTTGGAATCTTATTTTGCAGTCGTGCTTTGAAATCAGTACTAACAATACATGTGTTTAATTTGCAGGAAATGCTTCCTGTAATTAGTAATCTCTTCGACAAGAAG